TTTTTTCATCTCATTACATCAATGATTAGTGCCTCATTTTATAGGCAAAAACCAGAGGAAATGACAGCTAGCAGAAGGAATAAATGATAGCTAACATTCTGTTACAGTGCCTGATTCTAACAGATCCTATCAGAAAATGAAAACAGAAAGCAGTAACAGTAATTGTAAATACATTTTATTCCTAATATTTCTACAAAAGATTATAGTGGTCAAAGAATAGAAAAAACAAAAAATAGAAAAACTATAAGTACAAACTTGACCACATAAAAAAATGGAAGACCATTCATGTTTTTACACAAACTAATCTCATACATTCTCTTATATTAGTCAAGATTTCTGCAAGATTACTTGCTCAAATGGTCAAATGCTTACCCAGGCACAAACACACACTAAGTTTAAGCACCAAAAATAATAATAGCCTTGAAAATTTTCTACTCTACAATTTCAATTAGAATTTGCAAATCAGTATGAAAGGTAAACAACAAAACGTTTTATATTCTACTGGAAATGCTTTCTTTCCATAGAAAACAAGAGCAAATGGATAAACAAGGGAAGAGAATAAGAGAACATGCAATAATATCGGGATAAAAGTAACAGACACAATAATTTGGAGGAAAAAATTCATGAATATTTTTTATTTTACCTTTTAATAACTCATCGTCAGTTGCTGAAAAGAAATATTTGCAACTTTTTTTTTGAAATATAAGATTAGTAATATTATGCACAAAGGTACCAAAAGGGTACAGCGAAAAGAAATATTTGCAACTTAAAAGATCAATACTGAATTTTCAAGTCATTAGTTGGAATTTATGCTTCTAATCATGTGGTAATCAATGGAAACAACGAGAAAAAAAAAAGGAAGTTGACACTTCTTCAATTATGCTGTGACAAGATCTCACCAATAACAAACAGCTTAAAAGCCAATATATGATGTCTGACAACGGCTCATAAAAGTATCCAATCCTAGAAATTAAGAATAGCCTAGTTAGAGTGTAGCGGACCAACTAAAGCCCTTGTCATACAACACATCAGCATTACTAAAATTTCTAATTCAGGAAATTGAGAAACACAGTCCAGATGTTGGTCATTCTATGCAGACAAAGGACACAGATCATCATCTGATACATGACCATCAGACCCCAAATAATGACGAAAAAATGAAGTTCAACACATAATGACACCAAAATCGATGATCAGTTAAGTAATGATCATGGGGATCACTGGCCCACAAATCTATACAGTGAACACCATTAAAGAACAATCTAGGTAAAATGTAAAAACATCAAACATTTTGACAACAAATACATAACAGAACCACAAAATTTGCATGGAATCAACCCATAACTTATACACAATAATGTCAAGTAGCAATTCTCTGAGGGTCATTGTCCTAGCAGCAGTTTAACACCATTGAGTTTCTAAAAGGTATGCTAATTTGGGATGTTAAACATAAAAAGCTAAATATCGCAAAATTTAAGTCGCGGATAAGTTAAATCACAAATGGTTCTAACCTTCAAGCGCAATGAAACTCAAGAATAAGTAACTATACAATTATATGGTAGTGGTTGGAGTTACCATCTACCACGCTTTGGGCACATCAACCCGAAATAGTAACAGATGGTTCTCTAGCATTTTTCACCACAAGGTAGAGTAGAAAATTCTTCCTAACACAAACATGTGGAATATGAGGCATTGCATAATCTCTACCCACGAGCTACAACAAATTGGATATACCAAACATGTATACAGCTCACAACGGGAAAACCACTTGTTGAATAACATTACATTCTTATCCATCATTTAAAATCCGCATAACCATACTGTAGAAATTTAGAAGGGAAAATTTTGTAAGTTCGCATAGACTTACTGAAGAGTGGGAACAATGCCAGAGGGGTGCTTGGAAAGATCCACCGGCTGGCTCCCTTCCAAGCCACCTTGTTCCGCCATTTTTTCTGTTATTCACCTCTCCAAAATTAACCCTAAAAAATTTTGAATCGAAACAACAAAAATTGATAGTAATCTCGGTTCCCTCTTTCACAAATCAACCCAAGAAACACCCGATTAACCCCAAAATCTTCCTAATCGCGCACCTCAACCACAGAAACCCCAACCCACAGGATTGCGATTGCGATTGCGATTGCGATTGCGATGAACTGACATAAATTATCCCGGTCTTTGACAAGGGTTTAGAAGGCAAATCGCAGAGCTTGATGTAGAAGAGAAGTCTTTTATAGGGTCTGATGTAAGGGAGATCGAAGAGCTTTTGTACCTTTGAGATTTGGATTTGGGTTTCGTGGTTTGGTCAAGAAGCGAAAAAGGTGGGGGCTTTTGTTACCGCCAGGTTTAAGTATGTATAGGGTTAAGTACGTATGGCGGTGAGAAGAGAAGTCTAAATAATATAATTATATTTATACTAATACAAAATTAAAAATAATATTTAGTAATATATAAATAATATTATATTAGTTATATTTGTCAATATAAATATAATTATTTATTAACATAATATATTCTATTTATTTATTATATATAATATATTTATAATAATAACAAAATTTAAAATATATATAGATAAATAGTCAAATTCAGACGAGTTTTTGAATGTTAAATTCAAAATTATTTATTTTTTACTGTCAACTAAAATCTAATTAAACTCAAACTCGCACTTTAATTTAAAAAAATCGTATTAGATTAAATTCGAGCTAATCAAATTAAAGAAATTCAATTTTAGAATATCATCCATAATATTATAATCTATTTGGGAAGTATTTCTACGAGTACTTTTGAATAAATATTTGTACTATAAACAAACATCATATTACTAAACTATTTAGAAAGAGTGAATAAAATTTCAAATAAATTTAAATAAATAAAGTAAATAAAAGATTAATGATCGAACATTTATTCACTTTTTAATCACGCTTCTCAGATCTAGAACCCCCAAAACACACGATTGTGATTGCGATGAACGTCACAACAATTATACTAATATTCGACAAGCGTTTAGAAGAAATAGAGAAAATTAGCGAGAAAATCATATCAATAACGAAGGAAGACGTTTGAAAGGAAATGTCTTTTATAGGTTTTAATGTAAGGAGGATCACAGAGCTTTTTTATCTATGCGATTTGGATTTGGGTTTCGCTTGTGGTTTGGTCGAGAGAGGAAAAAGGTTGGGGGCTTTTGTACCACCAGATTTAGATATATATAGGGGTTGACGGGGATAGTGGTATCCAGTCGGTTAGAAGATGTAGTTATCGACTGTAGCCGGTGATTCATATGATTCTTACATGCACGATGCATTATTCTAGAATGACAAACATATAATTAGAATTAAAAAATAATTATAAAAATATTATTAAATTTTATATTATATTAAAATGTATATGTATATATATTTGAACGAATGCTTTGGAAAGAAAGGAAATTATACATATATATACATGCGTGTTGAAATTAGAAGGGAAAATTTTGGGGGAACACATTCCAGAAGAGTGGAAAGAATGTCAAATGGGTGCTTGGAAAGATCCACCGACTAGCTTCTTTCCAAGCCACCTTGTTCCGCGATTTTTTCTGTTCCTCACCTCCCCAAAATTAACCC